AAAAAAAAAAAAAAAAAAAAAAAAAAAAAAAAAAAAAAAAAAAAAAACATTTTGAAAACACTGATTAGAAAATGTTGCTATCATTTGATCTAAAGAATAAAAATGTAAAATACTGATTCTGTGATTATACCAATGAAATTGGGAGAGGGAAGCTGTGGAAAGAACTGGGGTTCCTGGCTTCAGTGTGGTGCCCCTGGGTTCTAAGAGGGAATACCATTTTGGAACCTCTGGCAGAGTAGCACATTAGACTATTGAGGACACTTGAACCTGAGGATTTGGGACTTTGGGTAACTTTAACATTGTAATTCTGCTTAAAGTTTCCTTAATAGATTACATTTTGATATTTGCAATTTCAGAGCAATAAACTAGAGGAGAAAAAGAGACTTCAAGAAAACCTCAGAAGAGAAGCATTTAGAGAGCATCAGCAATAGTAAGTTTATGTTTTCAGAACTTTGTACCTTTATAGGCATATGGTTCATTCAGCTTTTAAATTCTAGGTGATGGTAACTTTTCAAAACATCTGGTATTGGATTCTTGGCTACTATATTAATTATGTAATTGAGCTCTGTCATTATGCAAGCTAGGATCTAAGGTTGGAGACATCTGTACTCACTGAAGTGAGTGAGTATTCTTTAGTGATACTACTAAATTTGAGGAATTCCCCATTACAAACAACTTGGAGAGCTCAATTCTTTGGTGATCCAGGGTACTTCTGGTTATGTTGACTTCCAAGATAGCAATACAAAAAGGAGGGTGTTTGAAAAGAAGTACCTGAGCAGAATCTAAATTAACTAGGGATTTATCTAATGGGCTGAGGACTATTATACACTTGTATTTTTTCTGGACAAGAATTGAGAGATCATTTAGCAGTTATTGGCAACATTCCCAATTGGTGGTCATAGGCCAATGTAATTTTTCCAGTATGATTTGTGAGTAACAGCAGCTGCTATGTGTAGGGCAACTACTATGTGCTTTATAATGCAGGTAACCTATTGTTATATAGGCTTTAAAGATAAGCTCATGTCCTAATTATAAAGCAACTACTATGTGCTTTATAATGCAGGTAACCTATTGTTATATAGGCTTTAAAGATAAGCTCATGTCCTAATTATAAAGCAACTACTATGTGCTTTATAATGCAGGTAACCTATTGTTATATAGGCTTTAAAGATAAGCTCATGTCCTAATTCTTGGTAGTTAGGCTACCTGCACACTGATTAAAAGGGGACAAAACCAAGAATCATACTTCTGGCCTTAGTTAATTCTAAATATGGTAGAATTAGAACTGAGCAGATCTGGGTTCAAAGTCCCAACTCCATTCCCTAGCTACAACCTCATACAAACTAATAAACCTCTTTGAACTTAATTTTTTAAAATTAAGGATGTTAATATCTATTCCATAAGCCATTTGTAAGGATTAAAGACAATATCTTATGTAAATACCATAAAAGTGCCAGACTCTTATAGATACTTGAAATGATACTTATGGAGGATGTTTTTTGGTGGCTGGTGTGTATAGGGATCCAAACCCATGACCTTGACGTTATAAGGCTGTGCTTTAACCAGCTAAGCTAACCAGACAGCCCTGGAGGTGCTTGTTGAATGGGATCATACAACTTGCATTTTGCAGAGACTGCAGATTTCCGGTTACACCACAGCTAGTAATTGGCCTCCCACTTTCATATGGAATGTTCACTGACTGCCTCCTTTTCTATCTCCCCATTGCTGTCCATCATTTGCAGAACTTAAGATCACTTAGCTGCTGGGGTGAGCGTATGAGACACCCTAGAGCATGTTCTCCCTCTAAGCACAGCGTCCTCTGGGTTCTCATACCACTGAAATTATCCTGCCTCTACCATAAGAAGTTCCTTCTTGATTTAAGACTCAGAGGCAGGGATGGAGAGAAGTTTCTCAACCCTCTACGTGGCTCCTAAGCATGTTAGGTAATTGGCCTCTGCTACCCAGGTCATAAAACAAGTGGGAGATAGAATGGGGTAGGATGGAAGTGTTGATGGATGGTGTTACTCTCCTTAGCTACGCTCAGTGTCATCTGTGTCCGTAGCCTGTCTTTCCTCAGTCTTCCAAGGCAGGCATGGGGGAGAGGAAACCAGTGGGAATCGAAACACCAGGAGAAATGGATTATCTTGAAGAAACATTGGCAAGAGGGAGGCAACAGATTAAGGATGTTAATGTATTAATGCCTCTCCCTCCATGAGTAGAGAATGGATGAGAAATTATTTCTAGGCTCAGCCTGAGGAGTTGAGAGAGATAAAGGGTTGGGTTGGGGCATTAGTAGCCTGGAGTCACAAATAAGAACAAAGATAATTATCCTGTGGCATGCTAGTTTTATACCAGAAAAGGGAAGACCTCCCTGCCCGCGAGAGGTCTTAGGTACAGGACTGGGAAATTGTTCAAGTTCATTCTCTGGAGAGTTTTAAACATGGCAAGGTGAAGGATGAGAGATTCTTGGAGTTTTAAAAGACGTTGTAGGTTGTATTGCCCAACCTCCTTTTTTTCATAGTCCTCCAGCTTCTTGAGTTTGTGTTTTACTAAATAGTAAAGATCAATCACTTTTTTTTTTCTGTAAAGGAAAAAAAAAAAGTTTTACTCTCAGCCACCTGGCACATGATCAGTGGAGCTGAATTCAATTACATGCACATTTCACTCTTGCTTTTTCTCTTGCTTATCTTGAAAGTCCCAGTTGCCAAGAAAAAGAGAAGTTGGCTAAAAAGAAGTATCTCAAACTGATTTTTAAAGTCTATTGAGAAACACAAAAAGAGGTATATTTGTGAGTTTTTTTAAAAGAGTATTATACTTCAAATTACTTTTGAAATTAAAAGACCATTAGCTCATGAAATGAATGACCATTATGTAGGTAGAAATATGAAAGGGACTTCTTTAAAATGATCAATCTCTATATAGCAAGTCTTTATCACACCTTCTTAGAATCAGTTTATGGTGGAAAAATGTCTAGGAACGCTGTTAGAATTTTAACAGCACAAAGATTTCACCAGACCAAGTAGACTGCCTATCCCCAAACCCCAAATTAGATTCTCCTGAAGCTGTCAAATGAAGGAACACAAAATAGAAATACAAATAAGAAATTCTTTCAAACTAGTCAATACCTTGCTAGTTTCAGCGTGCTGTGATATGTGGTTCAAAGAGCAGACCAGGAACGATTTTTTTTTTTCTTTTTCCCTGTAGAGAAGGGCACCCACAGACTTGAGCAGACTGTAAATCCACATTGCTGGAGAAAAAGCTCATGATACCCACCTGGGGCACCACCATGAGAATCTTAATGTGCTCTTTCTTAACACCTTGTTTTGACTTTGTTCATTTACTTCTGATTATTTTCAGTGTTGTCAATTATTTAACTAACAGGCAGAAAACTAGGCTTTTATTGACATCCAAAGGGACTCTCCTGAGTGTAATAATGAAGGCAGTTTATTGAATGCCTGTGAGGTTGCTTTCTAATTGTATGCATTAATCTGCCCGTGCAAGCTGGCTGAAAATACACAAGCAGATTGCACATGCAGATGGAGCACACAGGACGGTCTTTATGAAAAGACCTCTGGAATGTACTTCTGCAGTACTGTCTTTTCCTTAAAAATTGAGCAACTGTGACTATTTCAATTGGTGGCTGAAAGCAGACCAGATTAATGGTGCATTAAGTCTGCTACTCTGGCTGGGGATGAGCTCCAATTTCACAATTTAGAATTAGTTCTAGGATTTTCAAGCCTGAAAGCAGAGGGTAGAAATGAGCATTTAACCTTGGTGTAGTTTTTGCTCTTATTTTTTAGTCTCTGTATTTATTTACTACTTGTAAAAATTCAAATGTGATACTTTTCACGATGGCCTTTTCTATCAGTCCATATTACTGGTAGATGGAAGATCTAAAATAACAGTTAAATATTTTTAAACACATCATAGAGAGGATGTTGTTAATTAGTTTATTTAAAGCATTGGGTAAAGTAAATTTTAGCATTTTAATTTTAAATGGTAATTGATTTGGGGGATATAGTCATCTTTCTAATTGTGGTTTTTTTTGTTTGTTTTTTGATGAATGTTGAAATATGTTTGAATTTTTACCTATTTAACCAGTGAGGGGTTTAGGATAGGATGTGAGTGTTGCAGTATAGATACATATTGTGTGCAGGTGTTAGGAAAAACAGTATTCTTTTAAGGGTTTTCTGGAGATATAAGAATATAACCATATTTTAAACATTTAAAAGTTTAATTTATATCTAAACCATTTAATGTAATAGATTATACATTTATATAGTTAATAAGTACAAAGTGCTTGGTTCTTTTAATCAAATAAAGTAATAAGAAACTGCTACATAATTGAGAATCTGTGGAGTGTCAGGCACTGTATTAGGCATATTACATAGACTTTTCATTTAATTTTAATTAATTTTTTGTGTGTGTGTGGCTGGCCCATATGGGGAATCTGAATCCTTGACATTGGTGTTATCAACACTGTACCCTAACCAACTGAGCTAACTGGCCAGCCCTTTTTCTTTTCTTTTCTTTTTTTTTTTTTTTTTTTTTGGCAGCTGGCCAGTACAGGGATTAAATCCTGGACCCTGGTGTTATCAGCACTGTGCTCTAACCAACTAGACTAATGACTCATCTAATTTTTAGATCAACCCTATTAAGAGTTATCATCCCCATTTTACAGGTGGAGGCTTGGGTAGTTAAAATTTACCAGTGTCACAAAGATAGTAAGTGATGTGGCCAAATCTAGGTCTTGAGCTTTTGGGTGTTAAGGAAAATGGATGATTTAGGGGCATGGTATGTTTTGCAAGTCAGAAATGTCTGAGTAGGGTGGAGTGATGAACACTGTAGCAACACAGGGTACCTGTGGAGAGGAGTGTTGGAGAGAGTGGGTCAGCTCAGACAGAGTGACTTGTGCATGGTTGACTTCTATTGCTTCCTACAAAGATCTCAATTTTGCCTAGAGCTGGCAAAAAACAAGCTGAGAAAATATGTCTGCTTTCTCTTCAATCCCCATCATATATGGATAGACTCTTCCCAGGCCCAACACTGGGTTAGTACCATAATTAAACTTACTGTAGGGTAGATAGGCTTTTGTAACCTTTCCCGGCTTTACTCTACTCTGGGTACATGTTCCAACGTTGTTTCTAGGGGAGAAGGGGCTTGATTCTTAAAACCTCAGCTGGAAAAAGTCCTGGGACCAAGCCCACTTCAAAACAAGACATTCCTATAGCTGAACTGCAAAGCACCATCTCGAGCTTGGCCCGTCGATTGTAATGTTGGGAAGAATTCTGCATTTCTGCCATCGGAACCCCATTTGAATGATAGCATGATTAGTTCCTAGGAGACACATCTTCATGTATTTTAGTTTCCTAGAGCTGAGAATCCAGGCCGGTCTGCTGAATATGCACACTTAGGCCCCAAGTTTGCCAT